AGAAAGATATGAAGACATGATTGATCATCGCAATCAAAACCCAACAGCCTGAAAAAAATTCATCTGTGACCAGCTCCCAGTTGGCTTGATATTATAAAATGATAAAGGAATATCACACCTGAATTAAATAAAACTTTCTGCTGACAGTAGTCACTCTAGTGCAATTTGCTCAACGAAATTTTGAATTTTTTTTCCTTGATCCGATCCGTGATCCGGTCCGTGATCCGATCCGTGATCCGATCCGTGATCCGATCCGTGATCCGATCCGTGATCCGGTCCATGATCCGATCCGTGATCCGGTCCGGTCCGGTCCGATCCAGATTTTGTCGACGCCGACTACAGTGTAGAAAGTACTCAAAGCGCTGATGGAATGCAACATGTAGGCCATTACAGCGTGAATCCCAATATTCAATTCAATACCCATTTATGCACGTGCTTGGAGAGAGGCATTCTCGTCTCCAGAGGCCGCGCTCCTTCTGGTCAGCACCCAGAATCGCGACCTCTGGGCTGGTCCAGCACTGGAAGTCCGCGATTCACGGATTTCTCGTCAAGTCGGACAAATCTGATTGCCTGAGAATACGGAGCGATTAATCTGCGCGTGCTCAGAAAAATCGGGTTGGGCCAGAGGCCGTGATTCTTGGTGCTGACCAAAGGGAGCGTGGCCTCTGGGGACGAGAATGGGGGAGAGGGACTGTGACTCAAAATATCCAAGGAGACAACACGATGACCCTGGCCAGGGCGCAAACCTGATGTACTTGATCCAGCAAAGTTGAGCACAATAACCATGAGGCCACCATGCCTTACTGTTGTCGAGACAACCGTGGGAAGGAGGGAGAAGGAGGACAGGGGGGTTACTGCTTATTGACTAGCATCCCATCCACGGTGCCTCTAAACCCTATAACTGGAATGGGCCTGCCTGGCCTTAACTTTCCTTTCCTGACTGCTCATTACTGTTGTTTATAGGGTGGACGTAAAGTGGTGTGTGGAACTGGTGACGGCATTTTAAACCTGTTCTCTTGGGGGGAGTGGGGAGACATCAGTGATCGTTTTCCAGGCCATCCACTGTCCATTGACTCTTGTGTGGCTGTCAGTGAGAACGTTGTCTGTACAGGCTCAATGGACGGAATTATCAGGTACATGTATGCCCTGCTTTCACAAACTTCTCGTACTTGCATGTTTATGTACATGACTGTGTATTTCCATAACTTTGTTCGGAAGAGTGATGGGCTGGGTCGAGAGTATCCACACAAGTATTTATGTTGTGTGACATCACACTGCGGCACGAGTAAAGGTGAATCTGCGAGAGACGAATCGGTGAACGAAGCAAGCCGGCGAAAAGGGCCCTTACCGGCTCGCCTCACTGGCCCGGACTCTTTTCTCGCGTCTTTGCTTTTGCTCGTGCCGCAGCACACGCGAGCCCGTTCGCAGGCTAGGTGATAAACGGTATGGATCGCTATGAGTGAATCAGAATGCCATCTGATGATTTCATGTTGAGTTTTAAGTCGAAAGGAGATAGCAGAACAACATAACGTTAAAAATGAGGGATGGAGACAATGCTGTACATTTGTTCTCGATTTGTACTTGGTTCCAGCCCGCAAGCAGGCTCTAGTGTTTGAGTTTCGCAGTTAAGCGCTGCTATAGCTTTTCGCTTTGGCGCGCGAGAAAGTTTATGAACGACGCGCGTTGCGGAACAAAGGACGTTGGGGTGGGGTCGGATGCTTCTCTCTCGCGAGAGCCTGACCTCGCAGGCTAACTTGACCCTGGCCATGCGTGCTTGCGCAGACACTCTCGGCCTAGACCGGCCGCTAGTTGTTGTTGTTGTGGTTTTTTTTTTTTCAAAATGTCTAGTTTCCAGAGTGAGTTGTTAATTTGAAGTTCACCTCTTTAATATCATCAGAGCTGTTCATATTCTACCAAACCGTTTTGTTGGTACCGTTGGAGAACACGACGATTTTCCAGTAGAGAGAATGCGCCTCTCACGTGATGGAGACATCCTGGCGAGTTGTTCACATGATCAGAGCATCAAGTTTTGGGACGTGAGTCATCTTAAGACACTCCATGTGGATCCTGGAAGTAAAAAGAGGGACAATGCCGTGGACAACACGGCAAATGACTTCTTTGCTGATCTTTAGTTTCTTCAACTTTCCGCAGTCATCTCTTGATTGGAAGCGGCATGAAGAGGAGGAGGAGGAGCCAGGAGGAAACAGGAAGGGAGAAGACATGAACCTCATTGGAGGCGATTTCAAACGCCTCCTATTTGACTGAAAACCCTAATTATCGAATGAAGCAACTGTGGAATTTTACATCGTATGGCAAACGTGGAACATTTAAGAAACCTTTAATTGAACAGTGCTTCGCAAGAAAATGTGGAATTTGCTAAAAAGTGGCGGCGTGGCTTGATTGAAAACCTTAATTATCGAGTGAAGCAGATGTGGAATGTTACATCGTATGGCAAACGTGGAACATTTAGGAAACCTTTATTAATAATTGAACAGTGCTTCGCCTGAAAATGTGGAATTTGCTAAAAAGTGGCAGCGTGGCTTGCAAGGGCATGGAAAGGGGGCGAAGTACCAGCATATGGTTTGGAAAGAACTAGAATGTGCCATGGATTCTGGGACCGTTGCTATAGTATCAGCTGATTTATGTGCACCTTATCACACCATCTCAATGACAAAGAATCATCTCATTTTCAAACCCAATGCAAAAGGGAAATGCCTTAACATTGGGTACATTGACTTATTTTTTCGGTGGACGCCCAGTGAAGACGAAGATGGGAAAGGGAAGGCTACAAATAAGTTCTGCAAGCGAAAAGTCAATGCAGAAACGTGGTAACATACAATTGACCTTACAGGGACGGGTGCAATGATTTTAAATACGATCTAACCTTTGGAAGTGAGGTGAGCTGAGGACTCGATCCGCGGATGTATACACGAGAACCAAGCAAAGCGATTTGGAAGGCGCGATGTCGCACAATCCGATCTGTGCCTTTTTTCTCATATCAAATATTCTTGACATGTATATATGATGTTATACCATGTCATAGAAATTAGAGCCAATCAGAATACAGGAAATCCATTGTGTGTTCGACGGTGTTTCATCCAACATTCCCATCATGCACCGCGCGTATGTCGCATAGATTGTGTTCCCCTCTGTATTTTCTATGGCGTGGTATAAGACAGTTATGCAATGCTCTCTCGTGCAATACCATGGAATATTTCCCACCTGTCACTTGTATTTTCTTGGTATACACAGGAGCCTTTTACACACGTAGAAACTACAAGTGACTCGTGGGATATTCCGTGAAATACCACTCGAAAGCGTTCCATAACTACAGGTATAGTATGTATAGACAAGATGCTGGAACTTGGAGCCCTAATTAAAGCTCCAATAAGCCATTTGTTGTTTCACGTCGTTGCTAGGTGATTTGTTTATTATTTCTACTTAACCAGTTACCTAAATACAGCTTATTAAATACTATTACTTTTTCACACCAGAATACACTTCCTGACCCAATTATTATTACTATATATACACATATTATTTTCATTGTTACTGGCGGCATGGTTTGTCTGTAGACGGATTCAATCTGCAACCTTGTTGACAGGCACGTAGGTCTTCAAGGCAGTTGGGCATGTCGTCTGGTCGAACTTCTTCTTGAAAGGAACAATGGAGAAGGCAAGTTCGGCATTTTATCAAGCAGTTATTGAATTCTGTCATTGGAGGCTGTGGGAGCGCGTTAATGAACGGTACAAGTGTGCAAAATATCATTGCTATGATCGTTATACTCCGTAGTTTCTGTGGCATCTAAGAAAAGAAAAGAACATTCAATACAGTTATCTCTGGGAGTGTCTTAATGTGCGCGCGCGCGACAGAGAGCGTAGTTCGAGGAAAACTGTGAGATTTGAGGAACAGGTAATGCCCAAGGACAAATATCCGAGCATATTTTAGCACCAAATGGGGGCTATTGTGTTTATAAACCTTGAAATATTTTCGCAACACACGCAGTTTTGAAAATTGTAGAATATTACTCGGATATTCCCCAGTTTTAGCTGGGGCATATTCAGTCATGTGATGCGTTTAGACCAATCGCGCGCCAACAAAAATATTTGACGGATTATAAGTATAGTCATCCCGCACCACTCTCCCGTCTCGCTTTCTGTCATTCCACCATAATAATCTCTTTTTTTTTCTTTTTATCTGTATATCACACCAAGATATCATATTTCCTTTTATTCGGGTTCCGTAGAAACACCGTGTGAACAAATTGTGATGAAAATGTATGGTTCCAGCTTTTTTTTTTGGCTGGGGGTGCGAGTGAAGAGGTCTGGTAAATAAGCACTCAATGCTTAGCGGTTCTTATTTTGAGGTCCTGCTATAAAACATTTAGTATTTAACAATGGCCACCTTCCTACATCGGCCTCTTTTACAGCGGCCATCTCTCCACAGCGGCCACCTCTCCACAGCGGCCACCTTTCCACAGCGGCCACCTCTTTACAGTGGCCACCGCTCTACAGCGGCCACCACTCTACAGCTGCCACCGCTCTACAGCGGCCACCGCTCTACAGCTGCCACCGCTCTACAGTGGCCATCGCTCTACAGTTTCACTGCTCTACAGCGGTCACCGCACTACAGCGGTCACCGCTCTACAAAGGCCACTTTTTTGTCCAAAGGGACCGGGTCTGAACATTCACTATTATTTTTAACCTCTCTACAACGGCAACCTCTCGATGGCGGATTTTAATCAACGACTGACGAATGGTGTATATACAAAACCCAATTTTTTATTGTAAAAGGTTACGAACTTGATCCGAACCGCGCGTCGTTAGTCTCTGTTTCTGTTCGGTTTCGATTTTATTGATACGTTTTGATTGTGTTACGTATTTACATGCTACATTAAGCATTTTTTATTTTTTTAAAGATAAAATGTTGCACCCTGGCCACCCGATAAAAACAGGTCCAGGGGTACTCCCAGAAAAATTGGGTTGGGGCATGCGGCCCGCGTCCCAAAACTCTTATCCTATTTAAGACCAAAGTATGCTATTTTCACTACCCTATTTATGGCTTGCCCAAAAATTCGATACCCTATTTAAGACCCTTATATCAATACCCAGTTTCAGGCCTGTCCTACAATTAGTTCTCTAGTTCAGACCCATGTTAAAGGCATTGTGAAGGGCTTTTGTTGATGGTCTTATCGATAATGATGAAAAAAGTGGCTTCTACTAAAAAGCATATCCAATTCAAGACTTGACTGCAAAAACCATACCCTAAATGTATTTGAGACCAAAATGGCCAAAATCGATACCCTATTTCTGACCAAAATGGCTGAAAAACCATGCCCTTTGGGACCGCACATACCATATAAGAGAGTAGCTCCATCCCGGGAAACACCCCTATCTCTCCATAACGCGGCCGCCCCTCGGCAACGGCCTCTGTATACGATTTGAGCTGAATGCTTTTAGTCATGCGCACGAGAAGAATATAATTTGTAGGGCAGGTATTTGCTGGGGAGAGAGTAAAGGTCTATGAATTACTGTAGTGATGGTTTCGGTGAGATTTGTTCTGGAAAGAACTGCGGTATTGGCTTCCCTGGACTTCCTTGCCTTATAGACTGATATTTTCATTGTAAATATATTTATCAATGGCAAAAATAAGACAAACAACGTTCAAACAAGACTGACGTCTCGACAATCGGCTGAGCGAAAGTCATCTTCAGAGTCGGGTTTTTGTGAAAGAAGATAAGTTCCCATGAGGTTGTCGAAACCTCAGTCATTAAAAACCGTTTGATCTTTTCAGAAATACAACTCTGACGAACTACGGGAACTGCTGGCCGCTTGGTACCTCTCGGACCTACTTAAGGACACTCAATTCCTTTTCTAAACCCTTGGGAAGAAGTCAATGAACAATACTACAGGAGAACAACAAGCAAAACCAGTAGAGATGTTAAACAAAGAGCAAGTGTAATTTTTTCAGTTCCTGTTTACATTATACCTAAATGACAGATTTTCCTACCCTACCATATTCCTGAACTTGTGAAATCCCTATCCTTTTAATTATATACCTGAAGCCTGAAAAAGGCAACCCCTTTCGGACAGTGCCTCCCCGTATAGGCTGTTATAAGGAGTACCCCCTCCCCCCCGAGGGGTGGGGGGGGGGGCGAATTGCGAATACTGCTTGCTTCAAACCATTTTCTTTGTGACGAAGACGTGCCCCGGCTAATCAAAAGAGAGGTAAAAGGTGGGTCGATGCTTATTTTCAGCTTTTGTGCTGTTATAGAACTGCCCTCTCCCTCTCTCCTGCATTTCCTACCTTTCCTTTGGGTGAAAGTCAGATATAATAAGCCATACATGATTTGCTGTTGAACCAAGTTTACTTGGTGCCTGTGGGGTCTCCCATATGAAAAGGTCGGGGATGCTTGCTTAGGCCGTTATAACTCAAGGATTCTGATATTTAATTCTAATAATTAATATTCAATAATTTCGCTTTAGTGTCTCTGTAGTCTCTCGTCGTAACTGTTGTTAATTATTATTTGTAATACCGTTAGTTTATTAGTTGTCTCTAGTCATTGTTGTCAATTTTAGTCTCTTTATTTCTCTTGCTACCTTCAGTTGTATTTAGTTGTACCTAGTTGTATATTAATAATTCGCGTAAACAGGACCCGCCTAGATTAGCTCAGCTATCCGCGGGCATGTTATAATTGTAATTTTAATTTGAAAACAAAAATAAAATGTATGTATGTACAATAAAAGAAATGCTCCTATTTTCGGTTTTTGGCTCGATTTCTGCGGGTCTCTCGAGTCCGATCTACTGGCGCAGGCTCCTTTCCTAAGCAGCGGCTGGTAATCCAGCTATTTCGTTTTAAGTGGTATCTTTCAGGGGTCAGATAAAGCTCTAGCCACACCCAGGTTGATCTCCTTTAGGGGTTTAATTCATATTTTCCGCCGAGCATCCCCGACCTTTTCATATGGGAGTTACCCCTGGGCTTAGTACATCAAGCAAGGATAGTAGATTTGGTTCAACCACAGGTCATGTATGACATGACATTCACTCATGCTGTCAGATCCCTTGTTTTTTTCTAAGATGTGATAAAGTCCTTTATTTATTTACCCTCAGGAGTCCACTTAAATAAACACAATCATGTATAATTTGTCAGAAGTTCTAAACACTCGTCAATTGTTCGATCGCGAGGTGAAAACTTTATCGTTCTTCGTCCAGCTTTTTACGAGCGTTAAATTTCTCGGGAAGTTTGCCAATCTTGGGCCTGTGAAATTTCGCGTGCCTTAACCTTTTAGCAACTCGCCACACGATCGTGTCAATTACATGCTATTGCAAACGTCTGAGGGACTCTAAAAGACTCAAAGCCAATTAATCCGTAAAAGCAAAACCCTTGCGAACGTAAATGACGCCATTAGGCAAGAAATAGAGTGCATGACGAAATGGCGAATGAAGATTAATGCTTGGCAAGATTTTGCTAATTAGATAGCGCGGCACTCACGTAATCTCATTAATCTATTATATTTCCTGTTACAGAGCTTTTAAACCATATTTTGGCGACTTTTAACTTCTGCTTGTCACGTATACTTAAATTCGCTTGAACACAGCTTAAAGGCTTTAAAATCGCGAGGAAGGAAATAACAGACGATCAACTGTTTGAGATTTTAATTCACTGTCTTCACGCGCTTGTTTCTCGCGTACGCATGCGCTATTTTCTCTTGTTTTCAGGCCTACACGTTTTCTATACTTTCGATTAACAAAGAATCTATTTCAATTAAACCAACTGTATCGTTCTAAGGGGCTAAATTTGTGATAAATTCGTTTTTGTATTATCATAAACCGGCCTATTTCTGGTCTTTTGGTTTCGTGATGTGATCGTTGTTCATAGATTTTCGGTAGTTAGGTTGTTTTGTCTAGTTTTCATTATATCAGCAAGATTTTACTTGGTTTTACTCCTAAGCATAAAAAACATTATGTATTATATATACACACATACTTTATTTGTCCCAATCGGGCTTTCCATTATCAAGGAAAAAATTATATATGTAAATAAATAAAAAGAATTGAAATACATCCGTGTGTTCGAGAAGAAAAAAGTGTTGAAGCCCTGTTGTAAGTCGTAGAGGCAGCTGATTTTGAACACGTTGAGGGGCTAATAAATGATGTATGTGAAGTTGCGAAGTTTACGGCAATTGGTCCTTAATTAAGAAAAGGCTTGATGTGTTGAAACGTAAAAACGCAAAGACGAGTATGGCGTCAAAAGGTTTGCAGCGGTACTAGCTGAAAATGCGTGGGAGAAGACGATAGGATTGTGTGAAGGCTTTCCGCGCCAAACAACGAAAATGTAAATTAACTGGCGGCGAAGCCTGATGAGTTCACCAAAGTGGGCTAAATTTATATGCCTCGCTTCCGATTCCGCTTCCAAGAAACTGAAATTTTATTTCAGCACTGTCAGATCTAAAGGCGAGCGCGTGCGATCCTTTGTTGCTAATAAACGATGTGCTGCTCTTGAAACTAATGTTAAACTGCACGTCTTTTGATGGATTTTCTTTCTTTTAATTTGAAAACAGCCAAGCGGCGCTAATATTCTTTGAATAATACATGCACCGAGTAAAGACAATATTAAAGGATGTAATTCTTGCCTCAGACAGCCTTAATTCTTTAAGTATATAAAAGGTTCTATCTGGTATAGAATTGTTTCACATAATAGACGTGTTTATTTTGTTTTACTCCCTTTTTTCGTTGTTTTCCTTCTTGTTCCAACACAGTACCGAAGACGATTGTTTCGGTAGCCTTTGACGAACGCAAATCTAATTGTGTATGCCGTTTCATAAGCTATGCTCCCGTCAGACAGCGATCGGCACATTGCTTATACTCAATTTTTCAGTCGCTTTTTGAGGACAAAACAGAGTCGGATATTGAAAAATGGAACAAACATAGTCCTTATTTGCGAGCGAGCATTGAAGCATCGAGGATCTTTTCGTTCACTTATCATTTTATTGATTCCTTAAAAAAAAAGCGCGTATTACATACCTTTTCTAGCGGTGATAGTTCTTTGGATCTTGTAATAGTCTTTTGTTTTCCAGCTACACGTTCTGCAGAAAAACAACAACAACAAAAATAATAGTTTTGATTCCCGATAAAATTCAAAAGGGATTGTAACAGTTTTATTCTGTCGCTACTCACACATTCAAGGCGAGGCTGATCGACAGATCTAGTCAGAAATATGAGTGGTTTATTTTGACGGAACTCCTGTGGTATCTCCGTTATTTATGTAATTGGCTGAAAAACAAATTTCTTGGACATTAAATAAGTGTCCAACTTTAGCACCGGTTGTGTAGCTTCAGGAAGCTTTAGGAAAACATCATGGACGAATCATTTTGACCCTAAATGGGCAGCAATTCATTGCATTTGACAGCTCACGCTGTCCGGCAGAATATTGGCTAATATCACGCTAAATCGCACAAGCCAAGCGTAGCGGATGAGATAACTACCTTTTATTCACCGTATTATCGGTCCGTCTCTGTTGTGAACACGCTGAAATGGACAAAAAGCGTCAGCGAAGTTTGAATAGCTTGTCAGTGAACGTTAAGCTCTTTTTATATTGTAAAAGGAGTTCGAAAATTGTCAACAGCGGAACTTGTTGCGGTTCCGCTCGTTTTTAGTGCGCGTCGCTGAGCGAATACGTCGAATGTGCTGACTTTAATGACGTTTATGTCACAAACCTAATCAGCATACATAATGAAGTCCACCTGTTCGCTCGGCCGTGATCTTCGCAATTTTGATCATAACCTGAATTCTGATAAAAGCGATAGCCAAAAAATCGCCAAACAATGTCAGTTAATTGCCAACCCCCCTTTGGCACGAAATTGCAGGAAAGACAACTTATCTTTTAGAAAGAATCGTTTAAAAAAGAAAGCGAATAAATCAAAAAGCAAGGCCTTTCCTTAATCATTCGTTTCAGTTAAAACTTAGCGCCGTTATCGGTTGCGATTTCGCTTTTTCAGAAACACTTTTAACTGAGCCACTCATTTTTTTCAGAAATTTATTAGGCGGGAAGCAATTTTCTCCATTGAGTAATTCAAATTGTGTTCAAATTGTCAATAGCCTTGCGCCAGTCGACTGCTCCAGAGGGAAACTTAGAATTGCCCATAGCTTAAGTGATGTGACAGGGCCCGGGGCTATTTGACATGAAAAATGACTCAATCAGAAGGACCCCAAATGTATTTATTTCTTACGATGTTGAACATTAAGGAAAACGAAAACTATAAATAAACACATCTACAAGCAATAAAATGTCTCAGCTCTATATGAGGTTTGAAAAACAATAGCCTCATACATATCGCACTAAATTGCATAAACCTTTAAAACAAAATATGACCGGAATTAGAATTCTTAAATCGCAATTTCGCGGAATCAGCCCAAACAATTTGAACTATAGCCACGGCGTCTTTTGCCGACCATGACGACATTGTGGCGTAGATTCATAACCATAACTAACTGAAGAGACGTTCATTTTAGGCTTTTCTTTTTCATGAAAGATAAAGCGCTGTCACTGCATTATCCCCCATAATGACAATGAACTAGAGAGCTAAATCATCGGGGATTTTCAGCTGATAATATCATTTGCAAAGCGAAATTAAACGAAAGAAAACCACTGTTTGCTTTGCGTCGACTGTGTTATGAAAAGGAATGATATTTGATGACTCAGTTTATCCGTCGAATTGTCGCGATGTCAAGTGCAAAAGAATAGCACAAAGACTTCAGTTTTTTTTTGAATAACTTTCTTTGTCGATCTCCTCGTGTAAGTTGAATGCAAATGTTCAATTGTTGTCTTACCGGAGTTTACCAAAGAAAGGAAAATATTAAATACAGAATCCTAACCAAAAGAAAGTTTAGCCCGTTCAACATGGGTTTTAAACAATAAATGCTTTCGACTAACAGTTAACGCAATTAAGGCTGAGCGGAGAAGAGAAATATTATTGAAGCAACTTCAATTAAACGTTTCCGCGATGTGGCATTCTCGGCTGTCGTGAAGTAGATAGGTACCTATGAATACTTAACTTTTCGCTGAACTGATTTGAGTTTATGACAGCGCGCTTTTTCATTAATATCCCTCGTTTAATTAACCCTTCCGAGACGGTACAAATACTTTGCTCTGCCGGATTGTCACTTGATTGTGCTTGATCAAGAAAGAGCTGGATATTAAAGGAGGAACACTGAAAATGGCGTACACAGGTGAATTAGGCGTCCATTGTAAACGAGAAGAAAACGGATTGATGGGTTTATGTCAACGTGCGATGCAGTTAACGAAGTTGAGAAGCTAGGGATTTTTAAGACTGTAAGCCAGTTGAGGTCATGTGTTTTTCAATAGACAACGGAAAGTTGAATCAGAAAACAGAAGATCAAAAAGTTTGATTGAAAGAAGGGTAAATTAAACGTGCATCGCCAGGTACGTTGGGAGCAAATGTCCCAGATAAGACATTTATCCACAGCAAATCTAACAATGAACGTTTTAAAAGATTAAAACTAAAATCAGCAAAAAATTGGCTAAGAAACGATAAAGTCAGGCGGAAATCAATTGAAAAAGTAAACAATAATTTCCCGTTTCACGAAAAAACTCGACCAACAAGCTGTAGTTCCTGAAAAAAATGGAATCTTAATCTGGAGTCTAGAGCACTTTGGGATTTAAATTTTAAAACCTTTTTGTGGAAAACCAGTGGAGGTATAAGCGGTAGTGTTCCTGTTTGTTTGAGATAACTTTTTAAGATCTGTAGAAATTGAAGATAATTGTAACCGAACAACAAATCAATAATTTCTTTAAAATATTTACGTTCTAGGGTAAAAATAAAAATATCTATTTCTTACCTACGGGCTTCCCGTATACCAACACTAAACAACGTTATTTCTGAGATGCACACTTATTGTCACTGTCAAAAGTGGTTGACGGAAATGTAAATGTCCAATTCTCAACTCTTTCTTTTGATTGGAGTTGCCACAATTTTAGGCCCACACAGTCTTGGGTTATTGAATAATTGAAGCAGCTGTTTCCAAAGTCAGAGAGGTGTTTTGGAATAAAAAAGGAAAAAACAACAACATTATTTCTTCCTCTACTTTCTCAAATTGACTTTAACCACGTAAAAAAAGAAATTTGAATAAACGGCACGAAAGAAATGTAAACTGGGCGTGGAAATAATTTAATAACGCGGATTTCTTTTCGCTTGTAAATGTTTTTATTCCATTCATTTACCATTGAAGGCGCCATGTTTCAAAAGAGAGCTTCGCTCTTTGCTCAGCAATATTACGCGTCTTTAAAATCATTCGTTTAAGTGTTTTTACTGTAAGTCGAGTTAGCAACGAGAAAAAATTTCGTTTTACGACTTACACTGAAAAAATGCAAATATATTCAGATCTATTGAAAACCTTTTCTTCTTGTCACTTCAATTGGCGTTCGTGGATAACAGGGTTTTGCATTGACGTAGGAAGTCCTTGTTTTACAGTAGGATCTGATCCCGATTGTAATGAAAATTGATATGTTGAATTCTTTTCAGGCAAATAAAGGGAACTCGCTGTGTGGTGTAACAGATTTTTAAGGGTATGCTTCGACGACAAAGACAAAATGAAGTATGGAGTTTTCTTGGGCTAATTTATACGGAAAATGTTCTAACTTGAAACTTGCCGGCGGCCTTTCCGCCGTTGAATTCAACGCTAATGGTCTTCATTGCTCGAAAGGCTAGGACCAACCAGCTATAGGAAAGAAAAAAAATCCAAAACTTTAGTCAAAAGTATATTTACGTCAAATGTTGAATGACAAATGTGGTTGAGTTAAATGACCAAATTACCCAGTTCTCGAGAGGATGGTTTGACGAACAAGTTTTCCAAGCCATCTTGAAATTACGATTAAGTACATTTGTGTTGCTTGTTGAGAACTTTGCTTTGTCGATTATGAATTCAACCGAAAGGTAACCTAGTTCTGTTGCCTCTGATAGTACTTGAATTGTGCATAGCGTCAACCTCTCGAGCGAAATACTGGCATATATACAAAGTCACGTGAAAAACAAAGGTAATGGATTGTAGAAATTTAAACCTACTTCAAGAACAAAATCTATCGCAGTCTCCACCTTGCATCAACATTAATTTTAACTTTGCGACAAAGTTCTTTTTCGTTTGTTACCATCTTCAGTTCCAAGCATGATCATTATAAATTCTCCGTATTGATTGTCATGCATTCTGGTCACTCAAGTAATGAGACTTTGATCGCGCATCGAGGTAACATGTCCAAGCGAGTGATTTTCTATTTACGTCGTCACCATTCCCCTTCACAGCGTAATGACAGTTGTTTCCTGCAATCTGCTGTTACATTAGCCAGTTCAGAGCGGGGGCTGGGGACGAAAAGTGTCCGCACTGACTTAAACCGTTTATAATTGTGTTCCAGATTTAAGTAAATGCTAAAATTTACGTAAAACCTGGTAATATCATCCCAAAGTTATTGGCTACAATTTGGTATGGCATGTCATTGCACCGAAAACTTGATAATTTCATGATAACCGTTTTACAAATTTTCTTGTTTTTATTAACATAATGTAACGTTAAAGCAGTTGCTTTTACGTTACTTTAGCATGTTTTTTTCTTTTACTGCGATTAATGTTCAATCATTTCGGTGGTGTTTTTGGTAAAATCAGGAAAATCAAGGGAGCGCTTGTTTGGATATCATGATGTAATTATTATGGGATAAGACCTTATTAGGGAGTAAGCAACGACGACGACGACGTCGAGGACGACGCCTGTAAAAAATGAAGTTACGTTTTACAGCCGAAATTCTCCATTGTCTAGATCTGTTCGGTACGCCAATGGCTCTTAAAGCGCACTTATAAATATGCAAAGACAGCGTTCAATTCCAAATAATAATTACACGAAAAATTAGCCGTCGTCTCTTCGTTCCGTGGACGACGCAGAACTTGGTTATTTCACGTTCTTGTTTTGCAGAGGACGGCAAAGAAATGTACAAAGATTTATAACGCACGTGCACAGCTATTGCTTCGGCTCATTAAACCTTTTGTTTGGTGACGTTCTCGTTGCCGTCGTCGTCGCGGTTTGCTCAAGTTCCCTATTGTCTCATCTTTTACCTCGAAGAAGAAACTTATGGACGTATGGAATCTCTGAATTTCATTACCGCTACTTAAAGTTTCGCAGGGTGGCGCGGTTTTCTTCCCCCGGGCAGTCGAAGATCAAAACTAAAGCAAGTCCAATTAGATTGGTCAACAACAAATTTTCAAGTGGCATCCAGTAAACCATTTAATTTCAGAGTTGACTTTTGCCTCTGTGTCAAAACCTCGTTTAAGGGAAAATATTCTTTTGAATTTCGAGCTTAAGAACGAGGCAACAAGGACTAATTTGCAAGTAAACAAAAGAATACTAAAATTGCGGCCATTTTGGAATAAGGTGTATATATGTAATGCAGGAGACCATATTTAGGAGGTGATCTAGAATTCCCTGGTGAGCAGGATCAAAACATAAAAATATTTAGAATTGTCGACTATATTTCTTAGCATATCAGATATATGACAGAAAATGAGAAAATGAGACAGAAAAAAAGACTTATCAACTAGTGAATATTGGCTTGATTCTCCACCAAATTTTCACAGCCAGCTGTACGTATCCTAAAGACAGCTGTTTAATTTTTTCAGTCGTATGGTTGTTATAGGTAGCTAATACCTTATTTATAAGCGTCAAGTTATTGTCTTCCTGTTTCCTTTTTTCTTAGTATAATAAATAGATATTGTTATTGCTGTTTTGTTTGTTAATTTACAGAATACCTGGTCAGTGAGTAAGAAGACTATAATACAGAGGATATTACATGCGCGCGAGTGGATACGAATTTTACCGCTTCGAATGTTCAACTCGATATCTCATAATTTAGCCTAGCGAATGATCATGAGTGAGATATTGAGTTGAACACGAGAAGATAAAATTCGTATCCAGAAGCGGGCATGTAATATTCTGTTTATGATGTAAATATACTAACGACGACATTCTTGACGATTTTCCGAAGATTTCCGACCACTTTTTGAAGATTTCCGAAGATTTTCCAAAATTGTTCCGAATGCCAGACAAACGCTTCCGAACATTTTCCAAACATTTTCTAACATATCCCGAAGATTACCGTTGATTGCTGAAGATTGTCAAAGACGACTGAAGAAGATCCGAAGATGTTTCGATCATACATAGTTAAGTGTAGTTAAAGGGACAAAAGAAAAAGAAAAATGTTATCAAAAAGGAATGATATCTTTACAGTGTGAAAGATAAAAATGGTATCTTCACTGCGCGCGATGGAGATATGATTTTGTGGTAAAAGGAAAAATCCTGGTATTTCACTGGCGTTTTAATATATAATAAAACAAAAAACCCAATGTATTAACAAGATTCTTGTGAGTTTATGTTTTATTTGCTTTTTCAGTGGTATTTTTTTATGTTTCTTATATTTTAATTTAAAGTCAAAAGTAACTAAATCAAGAAATTAATTTAGATCAAAAGAAAAGAGAAGGCTATTCGTGAAAAGAAAACTTTGTAGAGAAAACTGAGAAAAAAGCCAAATTCTGTGAAAAATTAGAAAGCAGATCAAAATTCGGCGCCGCTTAGGGTGAAGAAAAAATATTATAAGTATTATGGAGGCGGCGTGGCCGAGTGGTTCAGGGCCCTGGATTTGATATCTGGAGGTCCCTGATTCAAATCCTCCAGCCACCACCTTACCGCTATCTGGATTTGTTCTCGGTAGTCCCGAGTTCAACTGGACCGTTTCCCCCCAGCTGGAATTCTTAATTATTTATGTTCTATTTGCAATATTTGTGTGTTTATTTACAGTGTCCCCAATTAGCACGATAGTGCCAAATACATTTCACACTAAAATAAAGTTATTTATTTTATTGCATTTATTGCTAATAAGGCCCATTATTCCGGCAAACGGCATTTTTTCTCTCTTGAAACAAAAGGAAACCTATTCCTGAGAAAATGAAGGACTACTGCAATGATGAGGCTCACGGTCATGCTTTACGCTGTTTCTGTCGGTCATTGTACAGTGATCATAATGACTGTGTTATAGCTGATGGCCTCACTTCTTTGTTACCCATGGTGACAAACAACATAAAGATCTATAAACATTAACAATGCAATAGACCTTTTCCGCATTCCAACAGACAATGGCGCCCGGAAATGAAATTCTTTTAAAATGAAGTTAAAGACTGTATTTTTCCCACCATTTCCCATTATTAGCCGTGTCCAAGTCACCCAAGTCACCCATGTTGTTTTGAGAGACTTGTCGAAAGAGCAAAGGTCGACCATCTTCAAGGCCCCATTTCCCTGTTCATTAATCATAACTTTTCTTTTTATTTTGTCCTCTTACCATTCCATAGGAAAAGGTAAAACATGTCGTTTATCTCTTTTACAGCATGATGATTAGAATGCAATGGTGCAAGTAAGTAAACCAGCTGTGATGCGGTGATACACGTACAGTAATTGTCCCTATCAGCGTGAGCCTACGGTATTTCCAATTACTTAATAGCTTTCTAATTTTATTAGTTTCATCGTTGTAGTTGAAGTTTATTGCCATATCCGGATCTGTTGACAGCCGCAAACCAAGTGCTTCAACTTTGTGTTGTGGCCATTATATATCCTTTCTAGGCAAAAAAAATTCTCTTCCCAAGACTTAGAGCCGATCCCGAGAGCTTCTGTTTTGCTATCATTGAGCCTGAGGCCAGAGATCTTACTGAAATTCTCTGAACCTTGACCTGTCTAAAATAAGAGCGGTATTGATCGACATATTGACTTAACTTGACTTCATTGTTAGCAAAAGGAAAACCCTTAACGCCCCTATTGCTTCGGAGTTTCTTGGCTAGTACCTCCGCTGTCAGAATGAATAAATGTGGCGAAAGAGGGCAGCCTTGCCTAACACCTCTTTGGGGCTGGAAAGATTACTTGGCCACCCGTTGTCGAGAACGCAGCTTTCAATTCTGCGCTAAAAAAGTTCATACCCAATTGATAACTGATGGACCAAAACCAAGTAAGGTATCCAAAAAACCAAAAACAAACAAACAAAAAAAAAAACAAAGGGTTAAGTATCCAAAATGGATGGCCATTCAAGTGAACCAAACGCTCTTTCGAAATCTATGAAAAGACGTAGAACTGGTGCATTATGCCGTGCAGCGTATTGGATGATGCGGTCAATAAGTCGTATATTTACCCCGATAACCTTCCTTTCATAAATCCTGTCTGATCATTGTTTATAACCTTTGGAAGCACGGTTCCCAATGACTTTGGCTGCAATTTTGTAGCCCGTGTTAAGGAAGGTGATAGGGCGCCAGTTTTTAACTTAAAGAGCCTCTGCGTAGGTTACGTTAGGGGCGGAGAGTAAATATCCAAGTCAGCCGCAAGGCCACCTGTGCCAGGCGTCGCAAGCTTAAGACTGTTGGTCCCCAGGGCTCGAAAAAGTCTCGTTTGCTGGCTAAAAAAGATTAAAGTCGGAGGAGTTATGTATTTTCGAGGTATACAAATATTCGAGGTGTCTAAATACAGTCGAACCTCCGGTTGCGACCACCTCTCCCCAGCGACCAGTTTTTCAAACATTTTCAAGTAAAATCACTACATTTGAAAACCTCTTGTTAGCGACCACCTCTCGCAAGCGACAGCGACCACTTCCAGAGCTAAAATTTTGAAATTTTCTTTTGTTTTTAACCTCCCGTGAACAGATAATAGAGCGGAAATTGGATAATAAGGTGTTGTAACATTATCACATTTCATTTTACAAGAGATATTTTTCAATGGGTAGTATCGTATTTTCTCTCGAAATTGACATTTTCATATGAATAAAATATTTAAAACGTAGGGTAAGTGTCTGCCATTACCATATGCTAATGAGTCAAAATTTTGACCCAATGTGGCCTAAGCTCCCGTTAACGACCACATAGGCTTGACATTTTGGGTGGTCGCTTACGTGTTGTTCGACTGTATTATTTTACATTCGATTAAACTGTCTTCGTCTGATGTGACGTTAGTATTGTCGTTGAGTTTTAGTTGGCTTATTAAGACTAGAGGCTACCGCACACTAGCCGATTTTTTGTCGTAGAACTGCAGATTTTTTGTCGGGGTTAAATCGGGTTAAAATTTGTCGGGCCATCAGCTTGTCGCACACTAGCCGATTTTTTTGTCGCGACTAACCGCGTTGAGGCTTGGGGCTGAGTCATCCAAAATCAAGATGGCGCCTGTTCACTGATGTAACTCTCCTGACATTTCTTAATTAGTTGAGGCGCGCGCGACCCCGACAAATTGTCTTGGTCCACTGCACACTAGCCGACAAGGCCCGACAAGACGTTTTGAGATCTAGCACTGTCAGATATCGCCCGACAAGCCCCGATCTTGTCACAGACTTTTATGAATTTACCGCACACTAGCCGACAAGTGAAGATCTTTTGTCGGCCGACAAAAAATCGGCCAGTGTGTGGCAGCCTTAAGAAAGTGTTCAATATTCTTTTCAACTTCATTATCCCACTTATCAGACTTTGGGTTCCGTATTTAGTAATCTTTTCAAATTCTTCTTTTAGGAACTTAATCCTCCGTAGGAAAAAAGATGGCGACTGGTACATTTACCCATAGTTAGCGCAAAAAAAAAAAAAACCATAACAACCTTCTATAAAATTTTAAAACCTAGGCTACACAATGTCCTTAGTGCAGGAACAAATATTGTAAAAATTTGGCCGTCATTGCGCCACATAGGCTGTGTTAGGTTCGCAAGGTATTGTGGTAAAATGTACAGTCGCCATCTTTTTCCCTACGGTGGATTCGCTCAGATGTATTTTGATTTTAATAAGGGGTCATCAACAATTGTGCTTTCCCGCTGTTTCTCTAAGAATATGATGCAATTTCTTTTTACAACGGGAGAGGAATGAAACCACCAATTGCTGGCAACTCATTCGTTACACTTATTTCACTTATATCTAAAGTATAGATAACGAGTTCGAGAAATAGACAAGCTCATCATTTATTGAATGTCAGGCGACATTTGTCCGAGATAATCGTCCGCGGACTTTTAACTGGAGATTTTAGTTATATTTCGAACGTTAATAATACTTGATACAATTATCTAAAGTATTAATAGAGAATTCGAGAAATCGGTATTGAGGTAATAACAAACTCAACATTTATTCGCATAAAACAGTAAAATTCTAAGGTTGCATGCTTTTATCAATTGCAGCAACATAATGCGGGTACATTACACAAACAAACTAAGAGGGAAGATTTACACCAGTAATTTATTTCTTTAAAAACAGAAACGAAACAAACGCATAATTGTGGTTCATGTGGAACAGTTCTACTTTTCTTCATTGTAATCTCGGAAGAACTTTGATAGCACTTCTCTCTTTCTGCGGCAACCCTCTGCACACTGTAATGAGGGCATCAGGCAGTTTGTGTTGCACTCCTCTGGAGTGTTACACTTATTCATGGTAACTTGGCATTCCATCTGTTGGGTTCGACACCCTGTAAGGCATTGCCGATTAAACCCTTGAACATCTATGGATACCATCATAAGAACAAGGAGGGCCAACAATAATCGTTTCATCTGCAATAAAAAAAAAAATTACAATTCAAATCATAACAACAGCACATACAGTGACCATAGTAACAGAAAGACTAAGTGCTAAAGTGATTTTTCAAAAACGAAGGCGCATTTCTATAATTCTCTACGAGGTGTGGTACTTCTCAAGTATTCGAGAAAAAGAAAATCCAGTTCCTTGAACGAACTCCTTTGTTCTCTTAATACTGGTAACTTCATACTGATGACATTTAGTGCGATAAATTTCATGCTCTTGCTTGACCATATTTGCAATGTACATATAGTATTATAGGGAAGAGGAGATCGTTTCTAAAATTCCGTAATAACCCAATATCGCCTTAACCATGCAGATTGTTTAAAGTATTGAGCGCTGACTAATGAGCAAACCACAGGATCATTAATTATTTAAAAAGCATCAATAATAAATTTTAATGCAGGGGAAAAGTTTGACTTCCCGCTGATAATCTTCCTCGATGAGATATCTGCCTAGAATGCACGCATCAGATCTGAATAATTCACCAATCTTACAAGTTTCTCAGTTGATCAAAATAAATTCATTACCTACCCAAACAAAAATCCCAAGCAAAGTCATTTTCCTTTATTTTTCGAGAGTTTATAATTTTCTCCCGGATTTTAATTATATTATTATTCTTACTGGAGGCATCAGTTCCTCCAAGCAAATTAAAAGTATTAGAATTATCCCTTAAATACAGGAAAATAGGTGTTACTTAAATTGCACTGACCAATCCCGAATATAAGACAGGACTGAATAAATTTTCTGTTACTTTATCAATTAACAGCTCGCGATGAGAGATGTCGACAACCTATGAATTTAAACAATACGAAATTTTAATTCAAGACCAAAATTCACTCTTGGGAGAAACATTTCCGCGAGTTTTTTTTTTTTTCTTGTTTTTATGGACATATGGAGTATTCAAGACAAAAAATCGGTAAAATACATGCTGATGATCTATACAGACTGGAAGAGGCTTGTTTATAGAAAGTTGAATATGATATTTCACTTAACGTAAAATAATAATAATATAATAATAATAATAAAATACATAAAACACACAAATATGGCCAGTCTTGTGATTTGGATAGTGTAGCTCGATAACTCTGAGGAGGTCATTACAACAATGTTTTTTTTTTCTTTGATGCAATTTTAGCGGTGAGAAAAGTGAGTGCTATTCATATGTACAGAAGAAGAAAAAACAACCTAAGTTTAAGAAAAGACTTGTAAATGCAGGCAGCACAGTAAAATAAGACCTACCTTGGCTTGTCTGTTTTTGTCGTCTTATCAGAACAGAAGATTCAGACTTTTTCTGAAAGCAAGAGGATAAATGTGATAAGTTATATATTTCGGAAAGACTATGACTCGGATTACCTACAAACACAATTTCTCGGGATCAAACCAGAGCCCAAAAGAAAGTGATGCAGATTTTGATTACGAGGATAATAAAAATATGATTTTAAGCGGAGTGAAAAAGGCAAGTTAGTCTGAGAATGTGCACTCTTATACGAAACTGCCAACATACATAAGCTAGATGGAGTCGTCGGCAGATCTTGGGAAATCCTCGAGAGCAGATGTAACACGACTCCTTATAAGTACGCCGACTCCCACACTGACTAATTTGCATGTATTGTCTTTTCATCATCAATGTGTCTCCCCAATTTGGCTTTCTTCACGATAGTTGCAAGATTTTAGTACTGATATACGATGGCCAGGGAGAATATTACTGTTAATGACTTCTTACAAGCATAGGTGGATTTCTTTGTTAATGTTATCTAACGATAGTGGTCATAAATGCGTGCGGTAAATGACTGTTGCGTTCACTCTATTCAGATAACACATTTTTGTGCCCAATTTGAATTTCACAGCTTTGGAACAATTGCAGCACATAGATTGAAAAATTGCTTTCACAGCTTTTATTCTATTAAATGTAATTTCTAGAGCTGCCTTTTTCCTGTTAATTGAATGAGTATTTATTAACAGAAACAAGACCAGAAGGAATACGTGTGGCGACGCTCGGTGACTTTAATAGCCGTGGCGATATGATCGCTTTGTAAATTCAGGCCTCACGTAGAAAAAGCCCGTGCGGTATTTTTTCAGTTGTAATTGATGCGATTGCATTTAAGCTTTGAAACATAATGATGTGACATTTATATCGTTGCTGAAAAGTAGAGGGCTCTATATTTTTTATAGCTATTTTCTTTGTAAAATTTAAAACTGTAAAATCGATAACGAGTCAAATTATAGCGTGACTTTGAATCGGCCGCAGGTAATCGAATAAAAATGAATAAAAACCGCACGGGGAGAAACGACTTGTGAAGTTTGCCAGGCAGTGCTTGCAGAAGGAAATTATGAATGATGGAGTACTAATGACTTGATGAAACGTGTAACGCCGAACATGTATACGAAAGCTTTCGATAATTTAATTGTGCCCGACTTTTTGTCTAACCATAAATTTAAAATTAAACAAGAGAAGAATGGTCCAATTTTATGGCCAACATGAACCACAATTGTAGTAGCACTTTGCATTAAAAAGAAAAGTGATTGAGTTTGTTCTGATGGCAAAATATTGATCAGATAGTTTATGTACAAAAAGAAAAAAAACATATGTATCTGACACGCCTTGTCACTTCATAAGATATTTTCAGACTTCCGAGCAATATTACCTATGGGATTGCGTGCGCAGATAACGATATAAAGTTGAAGGTTACACGCAAGTACCAAGCCATCGTTTGCACGAATATCACATCATGTGAAACATTTCAAGCTCAAGTTTAAAAACAAGATTTCAATGCCGCTCCCATTGTCTATATATATGTATATATAATAGATTTCCGAAGCAGCTGAACTTTCTAATTTCAGTGAGGTTAAGCTTTCACAAAGTTCACAGATGTTGCATGGCCAGTGAGAGGGGAGGAGCAATTTGGTTCACGATCATTCAGTGATCGTTACCACATACTTATCTTAGAAACAAAAAAGCAAATGTCGGCTCTTTTCAGCTTTGTAATTTTCATTTTTAACAGTGGGAAGGAATCAACAAATATTCAGACTGAATTGGTCACACTTCCAAGCAGGAAAGCCGAAAGGGAAAAAGCGCGGAACATGTTTCATTAAGTGTCCAGGCCAATTTTCAGGGAATTGTATTTTTACAAGTTTATAAACGAAAGAAATTGGCACTTGCAAAATTGTACATTAATGAGAGCATAAAATATTTAAGGTCCGCTGAAATACATATTTTTCTTAAAATAATAATAATAGTGGTAATAATAACATACTGTTTTGATCACATCAAATAAGGTGCATAAACTTTGAATTCTTCTCTCATGTTTGCAGATGAATTCATTAATTCTGGTACGAAAGCATTTATTGAAATATGCAAATATCTAATGAATAATGATCTTCCCTTGATTACAAATAATGTCGCGTGGCCTAAGGCAAGGTGGTTACTGGACATGTTAACAAGTCGAATACATATATCTATTTGATTTTTCTCTCATTGATGTTTCTTTGGACCAGGTAGAACTTCGCGACTCCAGGACTTTCCAAACGAAAACACACAAAAAGAGACAATAACTTAAAAACGATCTATACTCAAAACAATTTAGTGGAGTTAAATGTACGTGTACCATCAGCGGAGATATTTACAGAACAATTAATACTAGGTAAGTAATTTGATTTAATTAAAAATTACAAATGTTACCAATTAGCTAAGGAAACAAAACGTGGTGTACTGTGAAAATATAATAAAATAAAGGAAATAACTATTTTTCTGCCTTTTGACTTGAAATTTTCTTCGGATCATTCGTGCTCAGAAGCGAAAACACAGCACTACGATAGAATAATACAATACGTAATAAAAAATAGTATAATATAAGTTTAAGTGATGGAACAGAGCAAAAACAAATTATAATTGTAATATTGGCCATATCCTGGAGACATGCTTTACTCGTATTATCTATACTTTTTTCTTAACTTTTTGTTAAATTCAATTGAGCGACCAAAGATCGGGTGTTTGTCGTGGGACATGATCCATTAGCTGTGGTGTAGTGTTCAATTTTGACATTGTTGTTTGTATCATACCCACATGCATTCGAATGTTTACTCGCTTTCTTAGTAGAGTCAGTGCAAACAAGAATTAAACGTAATTTGTTTGGTTAGTCGATGTCCGTTTGTATGTCACACAGCAAATATACCAGTAAATGAAATAGATTAGGAAACGCCCAAATTCTCCCAGTTCAAATATTTCAATAAACCAATGTCATCTGGTTCCATTTAACTTGCTGGAATGAACAAAAAATTATTTTCTGGTCTTAAAAAAATATGTATTTGATGTTGAACGGGATTTTACATATGCCTATATTAAGTCTATATTTGCCTTATTTCCCTCAGTTTGCAACACGTTGAAAGGACGTATGCATTTGATGGAGGGCTATAACCAGTCCATACGCAGTAACATTGCCAAAATAAGTGTACACTTACGTATTTTTTCTTTCAATTACGCAGTATATCTTATTTGCATTCTGGCCATAATTAAAAAAGACTCTACAAAGATTATATTTTCTTTTTCTTTTTTTTTTTCAATACTAGATGCATTTTTTAAGTTAATCTAAGGCTGCGGTTCTCAAATGCAAAATGTAAAAAAAAAAACAAAAAAAACCACCAAATGTAAAAGGAAAACAAGTTTAAAAAATAAAAATAAAAAAAACAAAACATTGTACTATATTTATTTGTACAAAATATGCAATAATACTGCGATGGATTTTTCGTCGTTCGTAGAATTTTAAATTGGAAAATTTGCTTTTATCTGTAGCTGGTGCGTCATCCCTTTTAATCCATGACTCTGGATTTAAAATACGACTCATGACAGAAACGACGACTCTATTTTATTTCGGAATATGACAGGATATCATTTGACAGCTGGATCGAATTGCCATCATTGAATCGTCGAGAACATTCTTTCTTATTTTCTTCATTAACGCAAAAGAAAGACAGACCTATCTTTTCTTTACGTTATAACGGCGCCGTTTTTTCTGAACTAACGAGACATAATGCGATGTTATGCGAAAAGTTATGACACATGCTTTGTGCAAACTGTTAGGAGAAGAATAAACGAAAAAGCGATTCTACTAGAAGTTTTCAGTTTAGTTGCTGCAACCGATTGCTTTCAGAAAATCAAAACTACAGAAGTACAAATATACACTCAATTATTTGGCAAATAGTTCAGTTTTAATTCCAAGCGTTATGTCAGTAAATCTGCCTTAATCTATGTATTTTATTGGAATGAGGATCCCCAGTGTGAAGACACCGCTCTAGGTTGCATTGATAATCGTATACAAAATCCGCCAAATAAGATTAATAACGCTAAATTTACTTGTTGAGGCAACCTTCTCCTCCCACAAATCGTGTCACCATGAGCAGACAATAATAATCAAAATTGTTCAAATGAAAAATACGCTTATTTTCTTCTAATTATTCTTTATTATTATTTTTTCGGACGTGCCATGTCGAAAACAAAATGTTCTGATTAACCTACAAGTTAAATTTCTGCCAGGCTTTTAGGAACAGAAACAAAAAAAGTCCCGTTTTTACAAGTTAAATAAGTTTTTCCACCGTTTTAGCAAAGCAAGTGCGCTTTTTGTAATGTTTCCGAAGATGATTACGAAACTTATGCACAGTTACATAGTCGAACACTCCCCGCGAACTCAAACATTTAACCTTCTCTCGGTTAAATCAAATAGAATAGTGATGTTATCTTAATCACCACTTCTTTCTTTGCCTTTTTACACGAATAAAGCGCAAATTACTCACCGGAGGTCTTCTGGAGTAAATGTTGCAAGCGAAGCCACTCGATGTATTGATACAAACGCGTTTCAATTCTGCTTTATGTTCTGAATATATATACTGTTTAGTTCTAATTTGCATTGAATACCTCATGGGATTTTCGCGGCAGGTGAGAATATTGAGCGCTGATAATTACAAAAAGTTCCGGATGACACCAACCCATTTCATCGCTTTCCTTTTACATGTTAAACATTTTATTTATTTCTTGCGTGGCAAACAGGAGTGCATATTTACATGTTGGCAAAATTAATTAAACGACCAGAGATCAAAAGTGACATGATTTTCCGAGCAAGCTTCAGCATTCGGAAGTGCTAGCAAAACGTGTAGGATTTCTCGTGTAACAACGGTCAACATTAAAAGAAATAATTTCCTACCGTAAGCCTCATTTCTCAAGGGTGGGACAAATTCAATTTTGAAGTTTTCTTTGGTTAAAATACCTTATAAGTAGGGACTTTCGTGCCCGCACATATATACGTAAGTGCTCCCACGTGTTTACATTGCTTAAATGTATTTATTCTTACACATAGCGTTCGGTAAACCATGAAAAACTTCCGCGAGCCACACACGATGTGATTGAGTAAACGTTGTTAGCGATACCAACCGCACTGTAGTCACCTGTCACACAAAAATTACCCAGAACCTTCTTTCATAGACCAAAAAACAATCATCAATAACAGAGACTGGTTACGGATGGTTTCTCACTCTTAAACTCCTCGTAATCACGCTCACACAATGATGCTCGTTAGAAAGCTTTCAGCCAGTGTGACAACTCATTGATGGGTTAGCAGTTTGCGGCGAGCTTATAATTAGGAGCTGCGACGAAAAGCTATTACAAAAAGTATTGAGTTAAATGAAGCGACGCAAATGCATTGTTCTACTCTTTAATCACATCGCTTGCAATGTCTACTTGTTTAGATATGCGAAGTATAAATTTTCTTTGATGACTTTCGGCTTTCGTTGAGTCTTTTTCTCGATGATGGTTTTAGGTTAGTGG